GTACTTTGGGAACCCCCAAACCAGGTGGTGAGATACCAGGTGGCGACCTGGAATCCCCAAAAAGGTCACCGCTGGGTTTGGGGACGCGGGGTCACCACCGGGTTTTGTGACTCCCGGACCCACCAGTGTCCGGGACATCCTCGGAAAACCGCACGAGTCCCCAAACCGGGTGGTGACACCAAATCGCCCGAGACTCACCGCCAGGTGTTGTCACCACCACGTTTGGGGACTACCAATGTACTGCAGTGGGTATGGACAAAAGCATTGCGCCCCGATGCAGGTCGGTGTCGAGCCCCGGGGGGGGGGGGACACGCGAGCGAGGGGCGGGCCTGCTCGGAGGGCTCACGGCGCCCCGCGCCCTCCGCCCCGAGCGCTCCGAGCTCCGCCCGGCAGCGCGGCAGCGCGCTCCTCGGGAGGAGCCCAGGCCTCGGAGCCTTCGCCCGACCGCCTGCGGAGAGGCAGAGGAAAGAGAACTGTGCGCATACACCGACTCTGGCCAGGACCCTCCTGAGCCCAGCCTCGGTGCACACGCCCTCTGACTGTGGCCAGGAAGGCACATGCACCGGTCCTGGCTCAAGGATGGGCGTTGCCGGGATCGGTGCGTGTGCAGATGGTTCTCTTCGCCCGAAGAGGGGCCCCTGCCCTCTCGCCTTCCCCCCCCCCCCGGCGCGCCGCCGAGCTGCGGTCCAATGGTTGCGTGCGCGATGGCAAATCCCCGCGCGCTCCCGGGCCGGGCGGGGCCTCGGGACCCCCCCCGGCGGCGCTGGGTTGGCGAGTGGGCGTCGATGCCTCCCCGCCTGAGCAGGCCCTCCCCCCTCCCCAGACGCCGCGCCAGATGGCCGTCCACGGGCCGCAGGAAACCTGGAAGGTCACAGCGACGCGGCAGCAGCGGCACGACCGAACGAACCAAACGAGGCAGACTGCGATGCAGCCAGGCCGACCGAAGCGCGGGCACCCCGGGTGCCCACGCGTGGCAGCAGTTGGAGGTGCCTCAGATGTGCACCAAACTTCAGGCATGCCTTGGCTCGTCGTTTTATGCAACACGCCTGGTCCTAGCAAGGGGGGGATCGGGGGAGGAGGGGGGAGAAGCGGGGGACGGCGGAAGAGGCGTCTGCCCATAGATAATATCCCACCTCATGCACCTCTGGGCGAGGATGAAGCCGGCTTCCCCTTCCTACGACCACATCATCATGTTCGTCACCGCCGCCATCGTAAGTATCATATACGTCGTCGCAGCATCAACATCCACATCAACATCGTCACCGCCACCACCGTCGTCACCACCACCATCACCATCATCCCCACCATCACCGCCATCGTCACCACCACCACCACTACCACCATCAGCATCATCATCAGCAGCATCATCATCAGCATCATCAGCAACGTCAGCATCAGCATCAGCATCAGCACCAGCAGCAGCATCATCTTAATCATCAGCATCATCATCAGCATCATCATCATCATCATCATCATCATCGTCATCGTCATCGTCATCCTAATCAGCATCGTCACACCTTTCATCATCATCATCATCATCAGCATCATCGTCATCATCACCACCACCAACACCCACAGTAGCACGTTTCATCAGCATCGACATCTTCATCACCATCATCACCATGACCCATGACCACCACCATCAATATCAGCATCATCATCAGTGCCATCGTCAACATCAACATCATCAGCACCACTATTATTAACATTAGCATCATAACCATCATCAGAATCGCCATCACCACCATCACCATCATCACCATCATCACCGTCACCATCATCACCATCATCACCATCATCATCATCATCACCATCCCCATCACCATCATCATCATCATCATCATCATCATCATCATCATCATCATCATCATCATCATCAGCATCGTCATCGTCGTCGTCATCGTCATCGTCGTCGTGCTTGTTGTCGTCGTCATCATCATCGCCACCGTCCCCATCCCCATCGTTGTTACTATCATGAGCACGCTCATTACCATACCATCGCTACCATGATTTTATCGTTTCGACCGTCGACACCAGCATCACCATCCTCAGCAGCTGTGGCTGTCACCACCTCTAGGCCTGCGCGCTCTGACCCAAGCCGATCGGTGCCCGAGGGAGGGCTGCCGTCGATGGCGACGCGGCGGCTCCGTCGTGCTGCTTCTCGGCCTTACGCCCGTGCGCGTGGACGCACGCAACGTCTACCCACGGCAGAGCTCCACGCAGACGTGCTTAGCGTGCGGGTGTGCGCCAGCGTCCGCGTGGACCCCTGCGTTGTGCAGCACTGGCAGCCCCACCCATGGCGGTGGCAAACCTCGGCGGCGCACCTCAGCGCCACGCCGCGCGTCCAAACTGGGGAAACCAACAAGTGCCGATACCGCTGCCACCGCTCCCCGCTCCCCGCTCCTCCTCCTCCTCCTCCTCCTCCTCCTCCTCCTCCTCCTCCTTGGCCTCCCCCTCCTCATCCTCCTCAGCAGCCTCGCCACAGGAGCTTCCCACACTTCACTAGAATCGCCACTCTGATTTAGATGGCCCTTGGGAGTCAACTTTGTGTTTGTTATCCTTGTCGTAACCTTGGTGAGCGAGGACGACTCGGGGCTCCTGCCGTGGAGGCACTGCTCGCAGAATGATACCGCGCACGGTAAGTCGCACGTCTCCGAAAACTATCGGAGAGTGTTCAGGCTCGTTCAGTTCGAGCTTCGGCCCGTTACCCTCTCGCCGCCGCCGCCGCCTCCCAATCTCCATCTCCTGCTGCTCCCCCCTCCTTCCTCCTGATACTCCTCCTCCTCCTCTTCCTCCTCCTCCTCCTGTGCTGCAGCTCCACCTTTGCCTCCCTTTTCTGCCCCCCCCTCACCCCTTCCCTCCCTTCGCCGCCGCCGCCGCAGCCTGCAGCGCCGCCGCCGCCGCCTGCCGCCGCCTGGCCGCCGCCCTCCTCGGCCCTCGCCGAACACCGTGCGTCTCGCCCGCCGTCTGCCGCAAAGCCGACGCCGACGCCGTTGGCCGGCGGCGGCGGTGCCTCGAGCCGGCCGTGCCGCAGCATGGAGGAGAGGACCATGGCCTGGTGGGGGCACAGCCCCGCGCCCACCAGGAAGAGCGCGCCCTCTCCGGGGGGGCCCGGCGGCACCGCGGCCCCGCCGGGCGAGCGGGGCCGGCGGCTTTTCTTCCAAGCTGGGGCCCTCCTCCGCCTCCCTCCCTCCCTCCTCCATCCCTCCATCCCTCCATCCCGCCTCCTCCTCCTCCTCCTCCTCCTCCTCCCCTTTCTCCTCCTCCTCCCCCTTCTCCTCCTTCTAGTCTGTACGGTCGACGAACCTTAGCGTCGCACCGTGGCGTTAATGATACTTGGCGATAAAGGCACGGAGGCTGTAGGGAAACGACTCGGCTCGAAAGACACATGGCGGGCGCCGCGGGAAATGAACGAAGAGAGAGAGAGAGAGGGTGGAAAAACAAGGAATGAAAAAGACAACAGTGCAGGCGCCCGGCAGATTCTCGAGGTCGGAGCACACCTCAGTGAACAGAACCCCCAGTAATAAGATGGATCAAAGATCAAGCACTTAGTTGAATTGGTGGCGCCGCCTCGGTTGGTAAAGCAATGAGTGATACGCAAGGAACTGCATGCGCGCAGGCAAGCATAGCCCCAGCATGTACCTTAGAGTAACACAGGCAGTACGAAACATGAAGCGATGAAGAGAAAATATCATATTTGGGGTGCGTGCTGCGTGGGCAAGAATGGAAAGTGAGTGGTTACACAAGTGGGCACGTGGGCAATTTGCTCTCGTGCCCTCCGCTGTAGAACGAGAAACAAGATAGTATGGTAAACGAAATGGTACCGTTTTTGTTGTGGCAATTGAGGCACTGGTGCGAAGGAAACAAAAACGGCGCTCGGGGGCCAAATGGTTGGGGCTGCCGCGACGTAGGCCGGCGGTCTTCTTCAGAAGATGTAGCCTCTCATAACAACTGCGCAGCCTGTGCCTGACCAGAGGTATGAACTAGTCTTGCTGAAGATTGCTGTACTGCGCGGTCAGTAGTCCACAATGGGAATGACAGGTCATTCCCCTACAGACGTGCCGAAATGGCATCTAACTGTAGCCAGTGCATTGTCAGCTGGGATAATAAACTGCACAATCATATTTGTCAGATACGGGAGTCTGCAAAGTGGCCTGATGATACAGGCTACAGTATGGCAGTCATTGCGAACTGCTCATGCTGCAATAAAGATTACATGGAATGCTCACAGAGAGCAATGTGCGATTCTGCGGCCGCTACCCAAGGTTTAAAAGGTAGCCCCAAACCTGCAAAGGTCGCACCCGACACACCTCCCCCACCGCAATCAAGCTTCAAGGCATCCCACTCCTTCACCGCATGTGCCATCTCATATAGCATCCTGCGGTGTTCAGAAAGCGTGCTTACTGCTGACGAGCATGGGTATAGGATCTGCGCAGCGCCTGAAGTCCTGGAAGCAGCCCGTAGCAACGAACAACTGAAGGCAAGCAACAACCACGAGTCTTGTTCGGTGAAGGTACTCCAGATTTCGTAATAAAGAGAGGGGGTCTCATTTCGGGGGGGGGTCTCTTCCAGGCTATCTTGGAGGGCCTGGGGGGGTCTGGGGACGATGAGGCCCTGGTCATGGAAGAGCTCTCGGAGTTCCCCTGCAAATTCGTGGACCCCCAATTGGCGCCCGACGTTATCAAGATTGATTTCTCCGTGATCCGATCGGCCCAGGTTCACGCCCAAGTGCCTCCTCCAGGTTACCAGCCCTCTGAGGTTCCTGTTCCACAAGCCCCAGAGGCCACTCGGGAAGGGAAATGCAAATGGGTGGAAGAAGGTGGTGTAACTTGAGAGGCAATATTCCCCACAAAACGTGATCTTCTCAACCACCTTCGTGCTAAACACCATGCTCGGAATGCGGGACACGTATTATCTCCTACGAATAAGCAAGTGGTTTGCCAAAGTGGTGGCTGGCCGTCACCTAGCTCGGTCTCTCGTTCGGGGCTACTGTATTCCTGATGGGGCTCGGAAGTTCCACGCTCTCATACCTCCGGATACACTTCAGTGCCGAATATGCGGGGCCGATCATGCTGATTTGGATCACCTCTGTAGCCATCTGGTTCAGCATCTTCCTCGAGAGGTATTGCCTCATCGTCCTCAGTCGGACCGTCGGCGCCAGCAGCAGCATGGCCCTGGAGGGTGCACCAGCGTGGCTGGCGCTCCCGACGGACGCGGAGATGACCGCGGCCCCGCCGCTGCAGAAGAAGGGCCGCCACGACGACGACAACGGCGGCGGCAGCAAGAGCTTGCGAGAGACGGTGGGGACGATGGGGCGCCTCGCGTTGGCGGATTCCCGCGAGATCCAGGACCTGGCCGCCGTCGTGTTCAGACAGCTCGAGGTGAAGCAAGGCGGCCCGTCCGAGCAACGAGAGGCCACGGGCAGGGCGTACAACGCCCAGTCCACGGTGCTGCGCGAGAAGGTAACGGCAGGGGAACGGGTCGACGTCGAGAGCAGGGCCCCCCCGCACGTGGCGGCGCTCGCGGCGTCGGTGAAAAAGGTGGGGCACGGGCGGGATCCTCAGCAAGAAGGGGCTGACGGACGGCTTCTCCAGCATGTGGAAGGATGTGAGTATGACCTTCTCCCCGCAGCAGATCGCGGCGCTGGTTCCGTACTCTCGGTGGAAGGCCTACAAGGGGAAGCCCACCGAGGGCGGCAAGGACAAGGGCAAGGGCAAGGACGACCAGTCGCAGTTGCAGCAGGTGACGACGGGCTCGGACAAAGGTCATTTCATGTACGCAGTCGAGGTCACTCACGCTGACGGGCCCAAGCTAGCGGCTCTCCTTGGAGAGGCGATGCTGGACATGAAGGCGGTGTACAAGGCGGGGGCGGCTCCGCCAGGCCCACTCCATCGCCAGCTCTCGAAGCTGATCAACGACATGTGAGGATGGACAGAGTTGATGATGGGTTGAATGGCGGAAGTGACCAGACTGAGTATCGAGGGCCTGGGCAGACGAGACTCCAGGTAAGGAACACGGTGAGTGAAACGGATGTGCCTGCGGCTCGGATGATTTTTTTTCGTTGTCGACGGGGTTTGATTGGTCTTCGAGCGAGCGATTTAGGGCTTTACAGGCTGCTGGCCATATCCCGCCTAGACCCCCCCGTCCGACGTCTGTTCCGACGATTGCTCTTCCCAGACAGGCGCCTCGTGGGCGCGGTCGGGGTTCCCGTGGGAGAGGTAGTTCCCAGCCCCCTCGGCCCCGCTCGAGGCCAAATGCCTCTGTCGGGGGGATTGCCTCTTCTCGGGGCGGTGCATCAGGCAGCGGCGCCCGATCGTGGGGAGGGGAAGCCAGCAAGGTGGGTCCTGGCCCGTGTGGCTCCACCGTGTTGGCGTCACCCCTCCCCGATCGGCATGCCCGTGCCACGGCGCGTGCACGGCTCGCTCCCACGCTCTTCAAACGGCGAACTGACTCGCCCCTCAGAACCCAAGCTTGCAATGTGTTGTGTGCTTCGAGGCCAAGCTGACGAGGGATTCCGTGAGCATGTCGGTCTGTCTGTCTCCTCCTCCTCCGCCTCCGCCTCCGCCTCCTCCTCCTCCTCCTCCTCCTCCTCCTCCTCCTCCTCCTCCGCCGCCTCCTCCTCCGCGCCCCCGGGGCTCAAATCGGCTCGTCATGGGCCTCCGGAGTTGCAGTTTCTGGAGGTGGCCCGCCAGGGGATGACTGCGGGAGGCGCCTCGGACGCGGGGCGCATCGTCCTGCGGGGTCACGCTGGAGGAGGAGGGGAGGAGGAGGAGGAGGAGGAGGAGGAGGAGGAGGAGGAGGAGGAGGAGGAGGAGGGGGAGGAGGAGGAGCCCGGGCTTCCGCAGACAACCTCACCGTGAGGCTCAGCGCGCAGCTCTCGGCGGCCCGACGTGGAGCTGCAGCGGCCTCGCGGGCCCTGGTCGCGGCGCCTCCCCGCGCGGCCGTCCCGGCGGAGAACGGCGGGGGTGGAGGTCATCGCTCGGCCCGCCTCGCAGGCCCTCTATAGGGGGCCACTGGCGAACCCTACCCCTACCCCCCACGAGTTCTGAGGGGGAGGGTGGGGTTCCCTTCGCTCGGGAGCTCCCGAAGAAGGTGAACCTCCCCCTCCACCCTCAGAACTCGTGGGGGGCAGGGGTAGGGTTCGCAAGTGGCCCCCTACCCTCGTCGAAGGCTTGCGAGTGCCTGGCATACGCAGTCTGGAGCGCCAGTGTGCCCTCCGTGCCGCGCATCGGCCGCCTGCGGGGGCCCCGTATCGCTCGCTGCAGGCGTGCCCGGCCTGGGGCCCACGCTGGGCAGGGCGGTCGGCCTCGGCGGTGTGAAGGGCTGGGCTGCACGCCGTGGCCCTGCGTGGTGTTCTCTTCCTTGCCGCGTGGCTGTGAAAGAGCAGTGCCTGCGCGCTGATCGAAGGGGCCCCCGGGCACACCAATGAATACACACAAACAACAAAAAGATTCCCCATATTTTCCTATATTTCCGGGGTTTCTGTCTTCCCCCCCCACTTCCCATATGTTCCCATATGTTCTGGGGAATCGAGGATGAATTGTGTCTGTGTGTTTCTTTCCCCTCCTGACTGATGCTTCCCCTTTCGTGCCCGGCGCTGGGTCTGGGTCCCCTTGCCCTCTGATGCTGCAGGCGATTCGGTGGCCGTGGCTGCCAGAATTGCCTCGCGTGCTCCTTCGGCGGATGCCGTCGCCACCCTCGGGGCCGACACGGATGCTGCTCATGACGATGGGGTGGGCGCCAGCACCGTCGAAGCCGAGCTCTGGCGTTCGTGGAAAAGCAGCTGGTGGCGTGGTCTGGCGTTGGAGGAGGGAGGAGGAGGAGGAGGAGGAGGAGGAGGAGGAGGAGGAGGAGGAGGAGGAGGAGCCGTTGGAGGAGGAGGAGGAGGAGGAGGAGGAGGAGGAGGAGGAGCAAGCCGCTCGACGGTGTTCAAGGCGCTCCACGCGCAGGAGGTGCGGCGACTGCTCCATCGTCTGGACCGACTGGCGGCGAGGGAGCTCCTGAGGTATCTGCCTGCGCTTAGATTCCTGCGCATCTCCCTCACTGGCCATCGCTCGAACGTCCCTTCCCTATGTTTTTGTTCGGTGTTGTGAGTGTTTTTTCGCCAAATGATCAAGGATGCTCCTCGATGGTTCTCGCCGAGAAAAAATGCACACGTCCGAGCGATGCCAGTTGAGGTATCTGCCTGCGCTTAGATTCCCGTGCATCTCCCTCACGATCCTGGAGAGGGCCGCCTTTTCAGTGTACAGCCTGCCCCCAGCTGGATATAAAAGGCCACGGCGTGCTTCTGGGATATGTTGCCTTTTTCTGGCATTGCGTGTTCTTCTTTGGCACCATCGTTTTCTTTCCATCTTATACGGGGCTTCCTGGCACTTGCAGTTGTGTTCGCTCAGTGCTGTATGAGGCTGCCGCATGGATCGGGACAGAATTTCTGTGGTATCGGGCTCGGCTAAATATGCTTTGAACCGCGTCGTGTGCGTGCAGTACCTCCCCCTGTTGCTGTACGCGGTGTGCCTCTTCTTCTGAGATTTCTCGCTCTCGGAGGCAGCACTTGAGGCGTGTGCGCGTTGATGTCCAAAAAACAATCCTCCTCCTCCTCCTCCGTCTCCTCCGTCCCTCTCCTCCTCCTCCTCCTCCTCCTCCTCCTCCTCCTCCTCCTCCTCCTTCTCCTCCTTTTGGGGTTAGACCAACCTGAGCGTCAAGCTGTGGCGTTAATCCTCCTCCTCCTCCTCCTCCTCCTCCTCCTCCTCCTCCGCCTCCGCCTCCGCCTCCTCGTCCTCCTCCCCCGCCTCCTCCTCCTCGGCGGACGGTTGTCCGGGCGGCGGCGGCCGCGAGGGGAGAAGGGGGGACGAACGAGCGAACCACCTCGGAGGACCGTTGTCCGGGCAGGCGTGAGGCCAAGTGCGTGGCGCCGTGGCGCCAGGGCCTCCTGGACCTGGCGCGCGTTTCGGAGGGAACCGCTGGGAGGCTTTGAAGGGGCCCCAGGACACAGAAATAAATTCACACACATCAAACGATTCCCCATCTTTTCCTATATGTTCTGGGTTGTCTTCCCCCACACTTCCCATATGTTCCTGTATTTTCTGGGGAATCGACGATTAATTGTGTCTGTGTGTTTTTGTTTCCTTCCTGAGGCTTGTTCGTCGGAAGGCTTGTGGAATATCGAACCTCACTGCAGGGCTCTTACGCCAGCTTGGGCATCGCATTCGGCGGGATTTAGCCGGATTGAGCGGGATGAGACCAGATAAAGCGGGACTCAACCGGACTGCATCGGGTTTCGGACCAAAGCAAAATCACAATTTGACCTCCCAAAAACTGCGTCCGACACGCCCGTGAACACAACTACAAACACGCATCGGAACCGTGAGACTACTAAAGGGGGTCAACACAAACGAAAGGGGAGGGCGGGGAGAGTGGACGTCGAAGGGGGGGCAGCCGAAACCATCGGCGGCACTCCCTGGCGATGTATCCATAGATTCCGAGCGGAGTTTGGAGGAGCGGGTATCGTGGGCAAGAAGCGTATGCAGCTAGACCCACGGCCTCGCGGGCTGGGTCCCTGGGCCGCGACCCCATGGATACGGCACCTGTTGGTTCGCTGATGCCCACCGCGGAACGTATCCATATTGAGGGAAACGGGTCCTGAGGGAAACGGATCCTGGATCCCAGAGCCTTCCCCCAGAACGAGATCTTCGTCCTGAGTCATTTTCTGACAGTTCAAGGCCCGTGGAGGGCCTCAAAAGCCCGATAATGGCCACAAAAATTCAGGACCCGCTTCTCTCAAGACCCGTTCCCTTCATGGCGAATGAATCCATGCGACCGCGTATCCACGGGATCGCGTCCCGGAATGCGAGACCGCGAGGGAATGGATTCGAGGTGTACACTGACGCCGCTAACACGTGACATCGAATTATAAAGATTGGAAGGGGGCGGTAGCAGGAGACACGGAAGATGGCAGGAACCCTCCTCGTCCTCAGTCTGGTCCTCGTCCTCCTTCTCCTCCCACTCCTGTTCCTCCTACTCCTGTTTCTTCTTCTCATACTCCTCCTCCTCCTTCTTCTCCTCTTCCATTTCATCCCTCCTCCTCATCCCTCCTCCTCCTCCTCCGCCTCCTCCTCCTCAACGACGAATGGCCCCAAGCGGTCGAAGGCACAGCTCGGGAGCCTCCTCGCAGCGTCGGGGCCCCATCCCTCCGGGCGGCGGCGGCGGCCGCGAGGGAAGGCGGGGGGATGAAGGAGCGAACGGCGCGACTCACTCCTCCTCCTCCTCCTCCTCCTCCTCCTCCTCCTCCTCCTCCTCACCACCACCACCACCACCACCACCACACCACCACCACACCATCATCATCATCATCATCATCATCATCAGCATCATCATCATCATCATCATCATCATCAGCATCAGCATCACATCGCATTCATCATCATCAACATCATCACCACCACCACCACCACCACCACCACCACCATCATCATCATCATCATCATCATCATTATCATCATCCGTCTCCTCCTCCATCTCCTCGTCCTCCCTCCTGCCTCCCTCCTAGTCAGTTGCCTCCGCATCAAACTCATCCTTCACCTACGCAGTCTTTCCGAAGTGTTCACCTCCTCCTCTTCCTCCTCCTCCTCCCTCCTCCTCTTCTCTCCTCCCCTGTCGCCTCCTTCCTCCTCAGACTCCTGATTATTTCTCCTCCTCTCCCACCTTCCTCCTCTTCCTCCCCCTCCTCCCTCCTCCCTCCTGCCTCTTTCTCAGTATCTTCCTCCAGTTCCTCTGTCTCCTCCTCCCTCCCTCCGCTCATCTCCCTTCCATTTCTCTAGCCGTCGCGACCTGTTCACAACGCAGTCTGTCCCGAGGTCTCTGGAACTACAGGAACGAGAGGTCTCAGAGCTTCTCTGGAGAAATCCTGAAGCCCAAACGTACGAGCA